GACTTATACTTCCATTCCTGTAGTACTTGTAAAATTATTCGAACTAACAGAGATATCCAAACTTCCATTAAACTAAAATTTTAAACTTATAAAAATGCCTTACAAATCTATTTCACAGTTACACAAAGTATGTTATCAAGCAGTTTTTTGGAGGGTTCTTTCAGTAATTATTATCAAAATGGAGAATGGGGAGAAGGAAAATGAATAAGCTGTTCCTCTTTATGCAAAATATTATGGGTATGACATTTTTATCTAGTAACATCAGCTAGGTTCTGCAACTTTTACTGATGTGCATTGCAAAGAACTTTGATTTTTTCTTAGGAAATGTTTTCTGTGGTAAAGTTATAAATAGTATATCTATTGAAAGGAATCATTATGCTACAGAAAACAAGTATTGACTTGGAAATCACTAAAGAAATTTTTAGCTTTACTTTAATAGTTCCCCACGAGCGGCCGAGCGGTAACGTCGCTGAACACTGGTAGTTCGGTCCGAGGTTCGAATCCCACGAACGGGCTGGCTGCATGTGTGTTTTCGTGGTTTTCCCCATGTGTAACATGTATACGAGCCAGTTTCCCTTAAAAAGTCCTCCACGAAGTCATCCCTCCCTAAAGGCAAATAGCCCTCGAGTGTTTTGCCATAATCTAATAAACCAAACCTTTAATAGTTCGAAGCTTTTTAATTCTTTGATGTGTGCAATATTATTTTAAAAATGTTTTAACTAAAAATCTCGCTTTATTCTAAATCAAATATTTTGATCCTAGAGACAAATAATATATGAATTTTAAAAAAATTGCACATTGATCTGTGAGTCATTACACTATGAAACCAGCGCCTGTCTAAGATTTTGAAACTTATTGAGGCAATAGGAAAAAAATATAACTTTTTACAATGTACATTTCCAATAAATGATGAAATTTGTGAATTTAAAAAAAGTATTTAAGAATTGCATTATATGTAATTTTTATACATTATTTTACAAAACGGTGAAAACATAAGAACATGCATAATAAGGACGCTTGAATAAATGGATTTTAAGAAAGGAAAAAAAAAAAAAAACCCCTCAGTAAAGTATGGACAAAAAACTCGGTGATTGCTCTTTGACATTAAAAAAAAAAGTTTTTCGTGAAAGCATGTTTTGTTTTTTGGTACATGCGTAGACCAACATTGCATGTTTTGCACATGTATCTTGTTCTGTGAGGTTTCTCCCTTGTTCTACAAAATGTACACTGGCACAATTTGCATTTTACTGGCATATGTCTCTTTTCATCAGGCCTCTTTTCATTGGCTTTAGTGCAGATCCTTTGTTTTCCATTTGTACTTATTTTATTCATATTTCATTCCAAAATATTTTAAATTTAAATAAAATTTTTATGCAATTTCTATTTTTAATTATAGCAAAATATATTTACATTATATTTAAACCACACACAATTTATAAAATCACAATATCAGCATAGGAAGCAAGTGTTTTGAACTCGGAGAAAAATCTCTGGAAAGGCATTTTCATTGGGCAAGTGCATATATTATTTAGTAATAAAATAACTCTGTCGTTTCAGAGCCTCTTATCTATTATCTGGGTAAAAATAAGCACTCCTAAGCACCATTGTGAAGAGCAGTGGTTTCAGGGCACAACCACTGAGCCTTCAGAGCATTGTGACACAGTGCTCTAGTGGCTTTAATTGTTGCTATATTTTTTATTGTTTATGATAGAAATGATGATGTGCGAAGAATAACTTTTGAAATTTAAAGTTGCTTACATTAATAAAAGGAAGTTATTTTGTGTCCTTGAAAGCAAATTTTAAAATGCATCGGATTTTAAGTACTAAGACCTAAAGAATGTATGGTTCTGAAGTTATTTTGTGTTATTTAGAGGTAAAAGATAAGTAATCAATCAATTTTCACTTGAAAATTTCGAAAAGGAGAGGGGGAAAAAATTTGTGGTTTCAGGGTGAGACCAGAGGTTAATATTGCAAGTGGAGTTACTTTATTTATGCAAGTATATTTGGATATAATCATGGTCTCTTTCTTTTGCATCTGCCATACTTTAATTCGGCACATAAAATTATATGAACTGATTAAATTCTGCAGATAATATGAGTATGTAAATTGTTATTTTCAAACAGATTATATGTATTCTAAAACAACGGTTATATAAAGTTTTTGATTACCTTAAAAATGTTTTCTGTAGCTAAAACGTCAACTAACTTCATCTGAATAAAAAACTAGCAGTTGCAAAATCCAGCTAATAAAAAGCTTCAATATATCAGAAATTGGAAATAAATAATGAAATATAAACATTTTACTCTGCTGTTATAAATAATTTCTGTATACTGCACTAAATTTTTAATAGATATTAATCAAATGTAAATATAAAATTAGAAAAAAAAAAGCTGAATTCATTTAATTACCTAAACACTCTATATAATATTATAGATGTAAAATACTTTGCTAGAGGTTATCATTAAGAACGCATGTTTTCAAATGTTTGCTTTTATGTACGAATCCTACAAAAACGTATTTTATTTAATTTTCATTCCTACATAGCACAAAGTTCTTTTTAAAACATAATATCTTGCTTATAAGCATTTTGCATTATGATTAACATAACAATTTTTCCTTCATAAGCTATTGGCTCATTTATAACTAAATATGTGTACTTTAATCATTTTTACAATACATTTCAATTTTCTTTCACCTCTGTGCATTTAATTAATTATAAATTTTTCTTTTGTAATTCCTTTCCTTGATTTAAATTTAAAGAGTTTTTAATTATTTGTTTCATGTTATTTAATTATCAGTTAGGATTATTCCTTCAGGGAAAAAAAAATCATTTGTTGATTTAAACTAAATGCATATTGTATACTCACTTAGTTTAGCATCTGATAATGAAGGTAAGAAATCTCAGATAATTTTTATGTTTTATGATCTCATTATTATTGGCATGCTAAACCATTGTATGGAAAGATATTTGCAAGTCTGTTTTGGAATTGGGTTTTTAACCCCCATCAAAGCAGCTTACACAGCCTAATAGCAAAAAGCAGCTTTCAAAGCAGAAAATATTCACATGTTATAAACCTAAAAATATGATGGGTATTGGGTAGTACAAATTATTTTTTGCAAAAAATCTCTCATTGCAATTATTTTACATTACAATACTTGGTCTTTAAGTTCTATTTTTACTTAGTTCTATTAGTTGGCCCCTTGATATTCTGGCCTAGTTCAACAGTTTTCAACCACATCTTTGTAGCACAGCCTAGTTATAGTTTCATTATCTAAAACAAATTTATAATGAATCACCAATAATAAATAAATAAGGAATGATAACATCATCTCTTCATTCATGCCATCTTAAAATATCCCCCTGTTTGTTACTTGATTTGTTTTGGGCAACCTTGAAAATCTCCATGAGTTCTGAGTCAGACTTAAATGTCAATGATGATGGAATTTGGTCTTTGCAGTATTTAATATGTGTCTTCTCTCAACCTTATACTATTTTCTTGAAAAGGTTCATCATGAAGTTTCCTGTTAATAATTTTTTAGTGCCAAAACTATGCTACTCTGATAAAAAACTTCATAATAGCATGCACTGAATCCTTGGGTATGCTAAATTTATGAGCAAGCACTCAACATGAGATTTTTAGATTTACAGAAGTAGTTCCATGTACTTTTCCTATTAGCTCCTGAGAGTGATCACAATCTTTACACAGCTCGCCTTCGAATTACCATTAATGTCTTCTCTCTTATCTTTGAAAACAATTGGTCAGCATGAAAACCTATATACCATAGATAATTGCTCTTATAAACTTGGTACTTGCATACAAGATTGTCTGTGAAATCTTTGTTTAGTTTAATAGTAATCAGTTTTAGAACAATAATTTTTATAAAATATTTCTCTTTTTAGTGAACTTAATATTGTATCGTAAATTTTACATGGCACTGCTAATTTTAAAACAGATTTGGTTTCTTTCTAGACAGATTGTACTAGTTGTGATATTAAATAATACCTTTTTCTGTGAATCTTTGCTGATTGTAATGATTATGAGAAAGTATAAAATTTTATTAAAAAAATAGTATAATAAAATTACATGAGTCCCCCCCCCTGTAAAAAAGTTAATATTCTATAAAACACATTTCCAAAGTTGCAGATATGTGAAAGAAATTTTGTTTGGTGAAGGAAGATAATACTGTATTGTTTTGAATATGAAAAGTTCTAATATATGAGATGATTTAGCACTTTTTTTAATGTTTTTCAAGAAAAGAGCTATGTGAGCTAGTTTTCGCATGTGTTAGCTTAATGGGTTGAAGACATTCTGCAAGAAAAGTAGTTTAATTGTACTATCAAGGGGCCAACTAATAGAACTAAGTAAAAATAGAACTTAAAGACAAGTATTGTAATGTAAAATAATTGCAATGAGAGATTTTTTGCAAAAAATAATTTATACTACCCAATACCCATTATATTTTTAGGTTTATAACATGTGAATATTTTCTGCTTCGAAAGCTGCTTTTTGCTATTAGGCTGTGTAAGCTGCTTTGATGGGGGTTAAAAACCCAATTCCAAAACAGACTTGCAAATATCTTTCCATACAATGGTTTAGCATGCCAATAATAATGAGATCATAAAACATAAAAATTATCTGAGATTTCTTACCTTCATTATCAGATGCTAAACTAAGTGAGTATACAATATGCATTTAGTTTAAATCAACAAATGATTTTTTTTCCCTGGAGGAATAATCCTAACTAACTGATAATTAAATAGTACTTACTTTAAAATAAAATTAATATGTTTTTATTTAATCAAGAAATAAATATAAAATTGTAATCATACCTTTTTAATGTTTTAGGCTATATGTGTATGTAATGAGTATGATTTGCAAAAAGTCATTTGGAGTATATTATCATACATTAAGGCAATAAATGAATTTGGGTTTATGTGTTAAGAGTGAAAAAGAAAAGGATGATTTATAAATCATTACTTTCATTATTTTTATTGCAGGTGAAATGTAAATATGACCTAGAGTCTTCATTAAAAAAATCTAAACATGACAACCTGAGACAGAGTATTTCTAGAAAAAATTCACAATTGTATTCAGGTTAGTAAAAACTCTGCTTTCTTATTACTTAAGATGGTATAAATTTAAAGCTTTATTGCAATATATCTTGCACATAATGTTAAGTTTGTTTTCATATTTCTTTCACAGCCACAGAATTTATGCCATCTTTTGTCAAAACTGATGGTATTGATGTCTTTAAAACCAACAGCAGAGTCTTAAGGAATAGTACATTGCCATCTCAGAAAGACCTTTTCATGTTAACTCTCACAAATATGCAAAACTCTATGGAAGATATTGTCAAAAAGCTTGATGACCTGGTGATTTTAGCCAAAACCTTTAACGCTGGAATTCAAGAGGTATCTTAAACATCATTAAACATTATTTCAGCTATTTTCTAGATATTAAAAGAAACGCATATGCATATGTAAGATAAAAAATATAAAAGCAAACTTCTAAATTTAATTCACTATAACCTCTTTTTTTTTTTTTTTTTTAGTTTCATTTGGGAACTTAATTTCTCTGTCCTAAAAATAGCGCTGTAAGTCTAAACTGCGTCATTCAAATGAATCATGCGATCTTACGTAAACCTTAATGCAGATGCGTCTTGACCAATCACCAAATTGCAAACCAAAACTTTTCTCTTTTGTGTGCTTCCGTCTTGCATAACTATGCACTTCAGCTTTTGCTCTCTACTGTGCTAAGATGTAATTTCGCCTCAGTTGTAATAGATTCAGGAGCAGAAATTTTGATCTCGTAGAATGCTGATTCCATAATGACTAGGAAATAGGAGGTGAAGACAGATTAAATCTTCATTTTCATTTTTAGCAACATGTTGCGGCTACACACAAGTTGGCACATTAAATGTGCCTGTTCCAAAACAACAATGTCGACTAATACAGAAGCAATAACCACTGTCGACGCTGCAAAATTTCAGTTTCTTATTTTTGACGGATCAAAAAGTAACTTTCCTATTGACAAATACATTCTGCTGTTTGAAAAAAAAATGTACCGCTAAAAATATTCAGAATAAAGATAAAACCGTCATCTTTGCAGACTGTTTAAGAGGAGAAGACCTAGCGTATTACTTAAGAGACTGCTAAGAGAAAGATTGAGAAGTAGTGAAAGACAATTTTCAGACGTACTTTTCCAGTGCAGAGACAGTGACTTTTAATGATTTTGTGTCTATTACTTATGATAAATTTAAGAACATTGACGTATATTTCCACAACAAATTAAGACTCACATCCAGTTTGATGTTAAATGATGCTACGATAGTTGAGGCCCTCAATCAGGGTCTTCCGGAATTACAGAGGATGTTGCTCTCTATACAGGAAATAAATTCACCAAAGGATTGGATTGAAACTGCAAGAAAATTATTTCCGGTTTCAATGTCGCTGGATGGATTAGAAAATTCAAGTAGTGATAACAAATTTGTTGTTCCAAGCCAAACTGTACCCAAATATTATCCCAGGCCAGTGCAACAGTATCAAAATTTTAGAACTGTGAGGCTCCGCTCTTCTCAATATCCATACAGGCCTTTTAGTTATCAACAAGCACCGTCCCGGCCTTTTCAATATCAGTATAGGCTGCTTAATTATCAACAAAATCTGACTTTAAATTATTATAATACAGTGCCTAAAATTGAAGAAAGGAAATGATCTTATTTTAAAGTTAATGTCCGAATAGGACAACAAACTGTTCCAGCCATTATCAATACAAGTTCTCACGTAAACATTTTACCTTGTAATATTTTTAAGGGCATTGATAAAAATTTTCAAGAAATCAAATATAAATATAATAATAAGTTAGTTTCTCTCTCTAGTCAAATTCGTGTAGAAAAAATTATTAAAATATCATGTAAAATAGGTAAACTCACTAATGATATTATATTTTATGTGGTAAATTCATATTTGAACTATTTATTACTACCTTCACCTTGTGTTTCATTGTTCAAATTGCAATTGAATTTTTATAATTATCAAGTTTATCGGTTTGGAAAACAGGTAAGAAAAATGTTAAACTAGATTAGTTTGTTTCAAAATAATTTTGTATGTAAAAATGATATCACTGCTAAACAACCTGGTAAATATTTTGAAAATAATGAAAATTTTGTATGTAAAAGTGATATTAGTATTAAAAATTCTGGTAATTATTTTGAAAATAGTGAAAATTCTGATAGTAAGTTACAAAAATTGTTGAATAGTTATAATCATATATTTGCTAAAAGTAAATATGATTTTGGTTGTATAAAGATTGAACCCCCAGAGTTGTATTAACTTCTGAATTATCAATAGCCTATAGACCATATAGAGCATCTCCTAAGGATAATAGTGAAATTAAAAAACAAATAGATGAGTTGTTAAATGCTGGAATCATTAAACCTGCTTATAGTCCTTATGCTGCTCCTGTAACTTATAAGTGTGATGAACAAGCAAAAAGTAGATTGTGCATTGATTATAGAAAGCTTAATCAAATTACAAAAACTGATTCTGAGTCTATTTCTAAAATTGATGCTGTATTAGATCAATTGGCAAATGCAAAAATTTTCCCTACATTGGATTTAGCATCAGGCTATTGGCATATAAAATTAAATGAAAAAGATACTGAAAAGTTAGCATTTACTACAAATTTTGTACTTTATGAGTTTACTAGATTACCTTTTGGTTGGAAGAGTTCTCCAGCTGTTTTAAGAGCTCTTCGACAAATTTTAAACAAATATCAGATTCAATTTGCTTTAAATTATTTTGATGATATTATAGTATTTTCTCCAAGTTTTGCTGAATATTTAAACCATCTTAAAATAATATTTGATATATGTGAAAAAGAAAATATAAAATTAAAACAATCTAAATGTAATTTTGCAAAAGAAAAAATAAATTTCCTAGGATATGAAATTCAAGCAGGTAAATACCAGCCCAGTAATGCAAATAGAAATAGAGGTCATTAAGAAATTGCAACCCTCTAAAAATGTCAAAGAGTTGCAAAGATTTTTAGGAAGTACTATTAATGTATATCATAAATTTATTCAAAATTATGCTAAAATTAGAGCTCCTTTAACAAATTTACTTAAGAAGGATACCCCCCTAGAAATGGACTAATGAATGTCAAATAGCTTTTCAAAAATTAAAAGATGCATTAATTTCTAGACCTATTTTAACTTTGTTTAATCCTAAATATCCTTGTCATGTATTTGTTGATGCCTCTAAAGAAGCTTCTCTTTCCCTGTGCTGCTAGGACCTATGCTGCTACGCTTCTCATCATGCTTTCTTTGTTAGAATAAGTTATGATGCATTAATGCATCATAACTTATTCTATTATTCTTATTCAACTATTAGTTAAAATACTCTTATTTAGTAATGAATAAATGATCTACAGTGATAATTGAATTAAAGATATGGAATAAAGATGCACAGTTAAAAGCTAAATCATTTTTGTGTTTTCATTGGATTTTTCCTTACCACTCTGCAAAAGCCATGCCTGAACTTTGATGCCAAGCTTTACCATGACTGCTAAAATATCACATTATTTATTTAGTTTTTGTATGTTTCATAATTATATATCTCGTGTTTTGCTGTTCTAATGCTTTTCTCTCAAAAAGGCTTCTCTATCACTTTGCCTTTTTCTTTTGAAAGGGGAGTGGGTAAGATAAAAAATATGAAAGCAAACTTCTAAATTTAATTCACTATAAACTCTTATATTTTTGTATTTCATTTGGGAACTTCATCTCTCTGTCCTAAAAATAGCGCTGTACGTCTAAACTGCATCATTCAAATAAATCATGCGATCTTACGTAACCCTTGATGCAGATGCCTCTTGACCAATCACCAAATGCAAACCAAAAGTTTTCTCTTCACATGCTTCTATCTTGCATAGCTACGCACTTTAGCTTTTGCTCTCTACTGTGCTAAGATGTAATTTCGCTGGCTTGCTTTCTATCTCAATAATATCAAAGATGTAAATCTTTTGTGGAAAGTCATGACTGGAGTGCCAAGTGATTGTGGCCGTGAATATCAGTTGCAAATAAAAATGGAATTGGAATCACCTCGACTGCCAAGTGCTTTAGATATTACCAAGTTAACATTATTAGCAGACTACGCAATCAAAATTCTTCTTCAATATGGATCTAAGCATGCATTGACACTGCTCCAGCTTTTCCTTGTGCTCTTATTATTTCTTATATATAGATATATCCATGACTAAAAACATATGTAAAGAGGTATAAAAGATGAAAAAAATATTATTGACAAAACGAAAATGTTATTATCAAAATGTGCAAGAATACAAACAGTAAAAAAAATTATCACTAAAATAAATCACTTGAAGAATGCTATCAGAAAATGTCATGTCTGTACTACTTTGCAAATGCAATTAAGCCTAGATTTAAGTAACTGTGTGAATATGTAAAATTTATCTATTTTATCTGAAATGCAAATTATCCTATAAATTTTGTTTTTAATATACATTACAATGAAAGACAGACATCTGGAGAAAGTCAGCATTCTCTGGTGAATGTCAATATTCACATAATCTCTTTGTATATGTCTGAAGTATTTGCTAAATATCCTTATTTCTCACTCACACAGGCAAATATCAATATTCTCCATTCACTGGTGGTGAATGCTGAGTAAAAATATTTTTGTTTGATTTTTATATTATACTTTGTTATTAAAACATATTATGATATGTATCAAAATAGAAAAAGCCTAAGTAACAGCACATGTAAATAAATTGTTGAACTTAAAACAAACTGTACATTCTAAATGAGGGAAAAAAAATAATACCAATAATAAACTTATTTATTTATGTGAGTGTAGTTATACAATCTTATTTATTGCAATGAGGAAAAAAAAAATAGTACCAATAATAAACTTATTTATTTATGTGAGTGTAGTTATACAATCTTATTTATTGCAACAACTTAAACTGTTATGACACTTTGAATTGCACAAGAGTCCCTTGTTTTTATAACACCTGTCTGTCTTCTCAGCTTCTCATTGTAACCTCCACCACAGCATATCTGTGCTTGTTGATATAACCGGTGATTTTCCAAATGTATAAGTATGCAACCAAATATTCGATCTTTCATATGTATTGACATTCACCAGACAATGTTAACATTCTCCAATTTTGGTCTTTCATGGTAATATGTACATTAGTAAATTTACTTATTTTATTTCTTATCCGACTACTGTTTTCATTTGTAAGAAAGTAATCAAGGTGCTGTTTGCTAAAGCATGGATTATGTATTGTACAATTTGGATGGCAGGATTAGCTTGTAAAATTTAGGAAAGGGAAATTAAAAGTTTGAAATTCAGATTGAAGCTATTTTTCAAAAATGTTGGCATATGGATTGAAATCAATCTTTTTTTCAGCTTTCTAGCTCTAGTTTAATATATCTAGCTAGCTAACTAGAGTAAATATCTGTAGTTAAATGCATTTTCCTAACTCTAGTTAAAATAAGTAAGATGTGCATTTTATTCAGCTTCAGATGCTTATTTATGTAAATCTTGTGACTCCATATTGTGTTTTCTCAAAAAGCAAAAATGTATTTAAGAAATGCATTTTTTGAAATTGAAGTGTGAGTTTTTAAAAACTATTTTAATAAAATTATGCGTTTCGTGTTTCATGTTTATTTTATAATTTTTTTTTTCTTTTATCTAATAATCTTATGTATCTTTGGCAGGTTACAAATGAAAACAAGAACTCAGAATGTGATGATTTAACCACAGCAAGCACAACATTTGCATTTTTATGGCCTATAATAGTGCAGCTATTTTTTTAATTATTTGTATAGAACTTTAGATGCTGAAGTTACTTATGAATGGTATCTTCAAGCTACTACAACTAGATATTTGTTATATTAGCATATTTGTGATTTTACTTTTAGATATACATACAACATTTATTTCATTAAGTTATACATGTATCATAAACTGTTACGTTTCATTCATTTTTCATGTTTTAATTATTTTTCTGATTATGTATAAACATTTTGTTTGTTCATGTTTGCTTGAGAATAGAATCGTTTTAAATTAATCTTTCAGATTTAACATCATTTTAATTTTATCTATTTATGCATAATATTTTGGCAGGCAAGCACAAGAATGACAAAGAAGGCTCTAGCTTTGAAGGTTCCACATCTTTATTCATTTCTCACTGCAGATCATTTTTTTACTTTAGATTAAGTTCTCCAAAATTACATATTCAATAGTGATTTAAATAAATAAGATTAACTTGAAATTTACTGCATCACACTATTCGAACAAAGGGAGACAGATGGGAAGAGCGGCAGCAAAGGTCTGATAGCAGCAGGAGGAAAAGACAGTCTGACGAAAAATGGCACGAACTCTGTATTTATGCCAGCTGTTATATAACATGCCAGAATGTTCTCGAAAGTAATGGTCTAGGGAAAGATCCTAAAATTGCGTAATGTAAATTATAAAAATATGATGGCTTTGCTCTGAGTGAACAGGCAACCTATAATTAACTTTCCACAATTTTAGGATCTTCCCTTAGAGCAGTACTTTTGAGAACATTCTGGCATGTTATATAACAGCTGTTATAAATACAGAGTTTGCGCCATTTTTTGTCAGAATGCTTTCTCCTCCTGCTGCTATCAGACCTTTGCTGCCGCACTTCCCATCCCTTTTTGTTCGAATAGTATGATGCACTAAATTTCAAGTTAATCTTATTTAGTTTAAATCACTATTGAATATGTAATTTTGGAGAATTTAAAGTAAAAATGATCTGCAGTGAGAAATGAATAAAGATGTAGAACCTTCAAAGCTAGAGCCTTCTTTGTCATTCCTGTGCTTGCCTACCAAAATATTACAGTATTTTTGGCATCATATTTTCTTTTGAAGAGCAAAAAATACTGAGTGATAGGAAAATCTGCTGACTTTGGATCAAAAACGGAAACTGGAACTTTTCTATATTTACCATTGCAATTTCACTTTGTTGTTCATTTGCCATCTTGGTTTGTGCTCTCGTTTTCATACCAATTGACGCACTATGCAAATGACAATCCTTGACTTACTTTATGGCATAGCAATGTAAGTTAGAAGTGCATTCAACGAAGAGCACAGCAGTAAGAAGTATCTAGATGTCTTCACTCATTAGATGAAAACCATAAATTAGCTAGCACAGCACTCAATCTTAGCAGACATTATCATAATGTGCTACGTCCCTCATATCATCATGTTATAATGGTCAATGAATTGTTGACAGTTCATTGGAGTATTCACCACATTAAACAGGAATCCTACTGGCTCAAAAATACTGTAATATTTTGGTAGGTAAGCACAGGAATGACAAAGAAGGCTCTTAGCTTTGGAGGTTCCACATCTTTATTCAGTTCTCACCACAGATCATTTTTATTTTAGATTAAATTCTCCAAAATTACATATTCAATAGTGATTTAAATTAAATAAGATTAACTTGAAATTTACTGCATCATACTATTCAAACAAAGGGAGACAGATGGGAAGAGCGGTAGCAAAGGTCTGATAGCAGCAGGAGGGGAAAGCAGTCTGACAAAAATTGGCGCGAACTCTATTTATACCAGCAAGATGTAAAATATAAAAAATACAATGGCTTTGTGAGAACAGGAAACCTGTAATTAACTTTTCGCAATTTTAGGATGTTATATAACATGTGTCTTTTCTTACTGAATCTAGTTAATTAAAACTACATGACAAACATCATCATGAACTTCGTCATCGTGAACATCATCATGAAGGGAAAATATGATTTATAGTTGCTAAATCGCCATCACTAGTTTTGTCATATTAACAAGTAAATTACAGTTCACAAATATTACTGATTTCCATACTGTAATGTTTTCCCAATGATACAATCAGTTATTCAAATTGATTGCTGGTTCATTTAATACAGGCCCAGCTAACAGATGTTGTATACTGTATATATTTTTCAATTCTGGTCCCATATAAAACAAATATTGTGGAATTTCTTTCTTAGTCTTGTTAAACATATTGCAGTTAATTAGAAAGTGTGCTTCCTGCTGATTGTTAGCATTTAAGAACTGAAAAAAATGTAGCAGATTTTGAAGTTTTCTCCTCCCCCCCCTCAAACATGTAGAATATTTAACAACTGAAAATGAAGAGTATCTATTTACTTTAAATTATATATAAAATGTAAATATTAGCTGTAAATTTTTATAAAATGGTATTGTAGGTCTGCTATATGTAAAATTTCACATTTTTTACAGAGAGATTTGTAGTATTTTTCTTATGAAAAAACAGAGCTTTTCTTTGCATGTAATATTGTTCTATTATTATTTTTGTGTACTTGTATTTAACCTTTTGCACTTCATTGGCTTTGTTACAGAGACATAACTATTAAACATCATACATCTGTGGTGAGTGGTGAAATATGTTTTATCCATTATGAAAATCAAACCCATAAAAAATACTGTTAGTATTAAATGGTTTCAACCACTTGGATCAGTTTCAATGATGAGTAAAAACAAAATATTTCATAAAGAATACATTTTACATTAGTGCTAAAATTAATGAAAAATGTTGTGTTGGAATTAATTGTTACACATTCCAAAAAGAATCAATGAATATGAAGGGTTTAAATGAAAATAGTTCTATGATTTCCATAGTTTATAGTTCAACTAGTTTATAGGAAAAGCACTAGTCCACCCTTATCTGTGTCTCTCTGTAATCTGTTCAAGAAAATACTGTATTAAGAAGATTATACTGAAATATCTTCAATATTTTGGTCATAATAATTAGAACTATAGTTTCAAGAGTAATTATTTTATTTATTGATGTTTCAATAAATGAAATGTGACTATTTAAAATTAACTATTATATAGACTTTCCTTTCAGATGTGATTTCAAAAATGTAACAAAATTTAACAGTGTAGAAATTTAATTTCAAACTAATATTTCTTTTGCTTTAATCTGTAAATCTGTACTTTTTGCAGTAGAACAAACACTCTTATATGTATTACAAATATAAAGAAAATTATCGATGCATTATATCAATTACCACAAGTTAGATAGTTTTGTGATTATTCAATTCCACATTTTTCTTTCTCTCAGCAAAATAGGTTTCTTCTTTTTCCATCACTGCTTTCTATATCTGATCTAATTTGTCCATCTTTAAATTATTTTATATCCTTACATAAAAAAAAAAAGAGTTTTTTCATAGTAAAAAATATCATGATTGCAACTAATTGAACTTACTGGGATATTGTTTAATCCAGTCTGTTAAGGTTGCAAGTATTAAAAGGGCCCTGCCATGCATAAATAAGCTGAATTTTTGAAATCTTGCATGCTTTAAAATTCAAATTCAGCAATAAATTAATTGCAGTGTTATAAAATATCAAAACACAATCACACTTTGCTATATTTGGTGTTCATTTGCCGATATTGTTGCAAAAATAATAAAGCTGAAATCAGTGCTGTCTTTTCTTTGATAGAATGTGTAATTTTACCATCGTATTATCGCTGTGCATTCCTTCAGACATAATGACATGACAACAGTGTCCCTGGACACAGCTTTCATTGCTGCTGCTAAACTGAGACATTCATGATATAACATCAACATTCAAAAAGCCTTCGATTTATCCTACTGTGATAATGCATATAATGATTTAATAATAAAATCTTGGTTTCTGCTTTGTTCTTCAGGTTCATATGTAACTTATAATGTCTGATAAAATTTCTTTTTATATGTACTGTATGTTAGATAATTTGAAGATGAATCTGAAATAAATTATTGTCAGAAGAGAAATTTTTGTATAGTTAATGCAATAAAAACACTGATTAATTGATCACAGCAAAGCACTTGGAAAAAATAGCTACTTAAGCATTAGAAATGATACAACAAATGTTATGTTGTAAAAATGAAACCAAGTTTTATTTTGCATATTTTACAGGGAGCATTGCATTGTTTTGGAGCACTGCGTTTATGTGTATTATTATTATCATTTAGCAGAATTTGAGAGACTGAAAGTACAGATTTATTTACGTCAGATTTATTGTAATAATACTCAAGTAAAATAAGAACATTTAAAATCATATTCTCAGAATTATAAATGCTATGAAACCACGTGAGCTAAGTGTAAATTGAGAAAATACTTGAGTTAAACATGTGTGTTTAGAAACTAAACATACATGTTTAACTCAAGACATTTAAAAAATTTTTAGTCACCACAGCTCTGACAACAAAAAAAAAAAAAAACAAAAAAAAAAAAAAAAAAAAAACAAAAAAAAAAAAAAAAAAAAAAAACAAAAAAAAAAAAAAAAAAAAAAAAAAAAAAAAAAAAAAAAAAAAAAAAAAAAAAAAAAAGAAACAAAAAAAAAAAAAAAAAAAAAAAAAAAAAAAAAAAAAAAAAAAAAAAAAAAAAAAAAAAAAAAAAAAAAAAAAAAAAAAAAAAAACAAAAAAAAAAAAAAAAAAAAAAAAAAAAAAAAAAAAAAAAAAAAAATAGCATGATAATGTCATAATTGCATAGCAGTAGCATCGCACAGGATGTTGCAGACATTATATTGTCTTTAAGATGCCCAGATGTGGATGTCCGCGAAATTCTTTACTTTTGTGATTGTCACAAAGACGTTGATTTCATATCTGTACCTGCATTTCCTTTCACGCAAAGACATTGCTATCACACCTTTACAAACCACATTCTTGTTGCACAAACATAGGATGTTACGTTGTAATGACATCATACAGTGACATTTTAGTGACACCAAATTAAATCTTTTTTTTTTTTTTTTTTTTTTTTTTTTTTTTTTAATTTTGAGTGTTAAATAGGTAAACTTATTAGTTCTTATTAATAACTTGTTAGTTCTGTAATTTACCTTTTTGGGATTGTTGCAAAGCCTTGCTTTTTTTACAAATGTAGTCAGTTGTATTGTACCATTGTGTTTATTAAAATATTTAAATTTCTTAATTCACTGTTTCTAAATTCGGGTGTATATCTACTTACTTGTTATTTGGAACATCTGAATAAAGTGCATATTCAGTATAACACTATGTATTTTAACAAACTGTTAATTAAATAAGAATGATTTTAAAATGGTGAACTTAAATAAGAGCTTCAGTTATGTTCAGATCTCTCAGCATACAATATAATTGGCCTAATAATATAAGCATCATTATGAATAATTGTCTTGATAATTCATAATGATGCTTATATTATTATGTTAATTATATTTTATGCTGAAAGCTTGTATAGCTTGATTTTAATTATTCCTGTATATAAAATCTGAAGTTTAGAAAATAGATTTTGCATGAGTCCCCTTTCTTTCA